CATGCTTTGTAGTTACGAGTTGTGCTGCTAGGTGGTGTTAGCTGGGGGTCTCCCGCGACTGTTAGTGAGCTGGCGTCAGTCTGAGTTAAGTGGTTTGTCTGTGGTGCTCTGTTGTGTGCGTTCCTGTTTCAACCCTTTGGCGATTAGTGAGAATGGCATTGTCCACAAAGAGTTCATTCCGCCAGGTCAAACAGTGAACCAGTGAACGAAGATTACGAGTGTGCGACGAAAACGGTCCGAAATGTGGAGAAATGGTAACTGGTTGCTTCACCATGACAATGCTCCAGCCCGTCTCATGTGCAAACCTTCGGTTAAAATTCGCTGGACCGTGCTCCATGAGATGTTCGTTTCCTAAGAAAGTTGGTCAATGGTCTTTCGACGATCTTCATCAATTCTGGTCGGCCATCTCACTGATCGCCAAAGGGTTGAAACAGGAACGCACACAACAGAGCACCACAGACAAACCACTTAACTCAGACTGACGCCAGCTCACTAACAGTCGCGGGAGACCCCCAGCTAACACCACCTAGCAGCACAACTCGTAATTACAAAGCATGCGCGTGCAACAGGTCGGTTCCGGTTATTTTTGGGTCCCCCCTCGTATGTATATAAATGCAAATTTGAGTGTTGTAGTTCAGTAGTTGAGGGTGTGAGATTTGCAGCACCTGAGGATGGCCCATTAGGATCAAAACATGTAGTGCCATATATGTTAATAAACAATTGTTGCGTTGAAAGTGGAATTTGTATATGTTGCTCTTATAGAACTGTAATTTTCACTGGACATACTTGTATTTTCTGATCTGGTGCAAACTAAATGAAATAAATTATAACCATGTCAGATGGTATCTGTAATATCATTAGCTTTGTAACTTTAGACACATGTATGCAATTAATATACCTAATTATGAACACACAACGCAAAACAGTGAACAGATGGATGTCGATCTTTTCAGGGAACCTGCTGCCTTTCTCATGCAGCAGGTTCCTGTGTAACACCAACACATATCTACCAGACTAAATGGCATCACATCCCTGAAGATTGTAATCTTCAGCCTGATCGCCATGACAGCTTAAAATCTAACAAGACTAAATACTTTTCATGTACCCAGCAAAGGTGAGACCCACATCAGGTCAACAAGAAATGATGATTCAACTTATTCTGGTGACCAAAATATTTGCCTGGGTGTCAGATTAAAAAAACTGTCCATCTCTCTTTATAACAATGATGCACATATATGGTAGAGGAAGGAATTTATGCAAGAATGACCAAGATTAAGTTTACTTACCATGAAAGATGGACAGAATGGGACATATTACTGTAAAGGTATGGGAATGCAATCCTACACTCTGTACGAATTGGATGACGGATGATAATCTTTCTGATATCGTTGAACTCATCCAAGTCTTCATCCCTATAAGAAACAGCAGCTTTCAATCATGTCTCATCATCAAAGGGCACATGTATAATGTTCATACAAGACTGTAAAATACTTACACAGGATCAGAATCCTTGATAAGAGGTTCAAATTTAGGACCTCCTGGAATGGCCACATTCAAAGCTTTGGCTGTGAGGAATGATTTGTGATCAAAAAGGTAAAAGTGGTTGATATCCACCATGTCTGTGAGAAGTTGATCAGCAAGTCGATAGAGTGCAGCCATCTGAGGCAGTGACAAGTTCCAGCGTCTGTATGTTGAGCCATTTACATGTCTGAAACATGACAATACCTATAACTCTGAAGTTAATCACAATATGAAACATATCTGTAGAGCCAAATCAGGGAAATATACTTAATGATGATATGTTTCAAGCCTTATTAAATTTATTCTACTTCCCTAGAAAAGAAATCTATTTTCAAGTATACTTTTAGTATGACAAATTCATTAATCTATTATTTGCCACAAAACACAACAATAAACAAGTGTTCAATGCTGAAGATACTTAGAAACAACTCTAAGATTATGGGCAGCCTCGACCACCTAAGCCAAGGTGTGAGGCATCGTGCTGAGGGCTGCATGGCACTGGGGTGGTAATTAGCCAGTGTCTTGAACGATCCCCTCAGGGCACAAGGAAGCACCCCGTTTATTTATGCCTTCCACCGGCATGGGGCACAGTGACCTTCTAAATCCCCATGACTCGTGGGACCAAAATGAAAGGAACCAAACTAAAAACCAGTCGTAAGGACCTTAAACTGAAGAGGGACCCCCTCCAAGGGGATCCCTATGAGAAATGCTTCAGCAGGGGGCTGGAAGCTCTGGTGAACCACTAAGGGACCGAGTTGCAACCAGCAAACTTGCTGTTGAAATTTCAGCCAAAGGCAGGGACGAACCAGTGGTTCTAAACCTACCTGAGGTAAAACCAAAAACTCCTCTCTTGGGAGTCAGTAGTACTGACATACCACTGCAGGGGGCTAGTACTTCTAGTACACCTGCAGTAGGAGAAGGACTGGGACACCTAGTCTCTGGAGTAGGTTGACCCCATCTAGTGAAGAAGGCCTTATCTGGATGCGCTAGACGGAAATTAAAGAAGGCAAGAGCTGGGGCAAGCAAGCAGGAACTGTGGGCAGTCAGCAACCAGGAAATGCAGACTCGCTCAAGCAGGGAGAAACCCCCACCAGGAGCTTTAAGAGGCCAAGGTCGAAGGGCACTACCCCTACAGAAATGGCCAGAGCTCTGAAAAGGCCCATGGACACTCTAAGGGGCCAGGGACTTACAAGGAGGCTCTGACCAATATCAAGAAAACGTATCCTGAAGACAAGCTAACAGAGGGAGACCAGGACTACGAGTACATTATGGAGGAACTGGGACAAGCATTACGTAGGACTCCTTTCGGAGAACTACCACACCTGAAATCCTATAGACTGGAGGGAGGTGCATTAATATATACATGTGCCAACCAACAGTCTGGACAGTGACTCGTTAGAACCACAGATAATCACAGATTGAAATCAGGAGCTAGGCTGAAGATTAGTGACGCCAAGAACCTGCCCAAACCTGTGAGGGTGGCTCTCAGGACAAAGGACAAAGTTGCCCAAAATCCTGCAGAGCTGCTGAAATGGATGGGGAATCTTAATCCAGAACTACATACTGAGAGTTAGGGGATACTGGATGTGAAATCTGAACCGAAAGGGCAGAGACTGATCCTCCTTATAGACCAGGATTCCCTATCTGTTATCAAGGGAACTGGATACAGGGTATACACAGGAGTCTCACAGGGAACTGTTAGGGCCCTGAAAGATCCTGAGGCGCAGCAGCATAAAGAAGTGGCTGTGCCAAGTTCAATATCCTCGGAATTGGCCTCTGAGGAGGAGACAATTCCTCCTCTCATGAACACGATCTTACCAAATCAGGGACCTCCCTTGGAGGAAACCAGGTCTGATAAAAGAAAAGGGGCTGTGGAAGAAGGTATGGAGGAGGACACCTTTCCCAGCATCACAGAATGAAGACATAACACATACATACACACACACAACATATGATTCATTCAGATTAACCTACACCACAGCAAGGCTGCTACGGCAATTTTATGTCAACAACTTGCTGAGGGAAAAGTAGACGTAGCACTTATTCAGGAACCTTGGATACATAGGGGCCAAATAAGAGGCTTAAAGAATCAGGGGGAAAAGTTCATTCTGTCGTACCTGGAGAAAATGCGAAATCATGCATATATGTTAATAATTATATTAATGCTTTACCCTTGCTGGAGTTTTGTTCCAGAGACACAAAGGTGAGGATGACATACACACTGGGAGGAGGCTGTGAGTAGCTCATCGTCACTTCAGCCTACCTTCCATATGACTCGGACGAACCATCACCTTCCAAAGAAGTGAGGGACATTGTTGAATATTGCCATCTTAGGGAAAAGCAGCTCATCATTAGGTGTGACACCAACACGCACGACACATTGTGGGGGAGCACTGACATCAACCCAAGAGGAGAGTGCCTCATGGAATATTTGGTGAGTTCAAACTTTAATATTCTAAACAAAGGTAAAGAGCCTACCTTTGTGGTTTGCAATAGGCAGGAGGTTATCGATTTGACACTAGGGACAAATAAAATAGGAAACCTGATAATTGGCATGTATCTGATGAGCCATCCATATCGGATCACAGATATATATGCTTTCAAATAAGCAACATGACAGTAGATCAAGCTACTTATAGGAATCCGAAGAGAACCAATTGGGAGTCTTACAAAGATGACCTAAAGGTAAATCTGGAGACCATCTCGTGAAATATATGCACAATAAAGGATGTTGATAAGTCTGTTGACCAGTTGCGATGGGCTATTATCTCATCCTTTTTATCGGAATTGTCCAGCTAGGACCACTCGCAAACGAAGGAGAGCGCCTTGGAGGAGTAAACAGCTGAATGGGCTTAGAACCAAAATGAGAAGGCTGTTTAATACAGCTAAAAGAACAGGGCAGTGGGACACCTACAAGGAAACCCTTACCTGTTACAACAAAGAAATAATAAAGCCAAGCGATCGCCATGGAGGAGGCACTCCCAGAAGACCAATGACGTACCAGGCAGTGCCAGACTCATGAGAATCATGGCAAAACAGGCAACCAAAAAGGTCAGCACGATTAAGCTGCCTAGCAGGCAGTATACTCAAACAGGAAGGAAGACACTGAATTAACTATTCAGCGTTCACTTTCCTGATTCAAAATTGATTACTTGGATGATGGACAGGGTCAGCAGAACCTGGGCACTTGCCAAAGCAGGACGAAAAGGGCAGACTGGAACCTGGCCAAAGTCATAATTAACCAATCAAAAATCAGATGGGCACTGAATACATTTAGACCACTTAAGTCAGTGGGAACAGATGGAATTGTACTGGCATATTTGCAGCATGGGGCAGAACTCTTAGTTCCACACCTATGCCACATATATAGAGCCTGCATGGCATATGGTTTCATCCCCATTGCATGGAGGCAAGTTAAGGTGACATTTATCCCAAAGCCCGGGGAACTAGATTACACCAAGGCTAAGGCTTATCGTCCTATCAGCCTGTCGCCTTTCCTTCTGAAAACTATTGAGAAAATAGTGGATAGGCATATAAGGGATGGGGTGTTGAGGGCATATCCTCTACACCGAAACCAGCAAGCATACCAATCAGGTAAATCTACCAAAACCGCACTACACAATGTGGTAACATGCATAGAAAGTGCGATCGAACACAAGGATATTGCCTTAGGAGCATTCCTTGACATAAAGGGAGCTTTAGATAGAACCTCATTTGATATAATCAAACAGGCTGCTGGAAAGCATAGCATAGAGCCTACAATATACAGGTGGAGCAGTGTTACGCTGGAAAGCAGAACCATAACTGCTACATTATCAGGAGAAACCCTGGGGGCATTCACGTCTAGGGGTGACCGCAGGGGGGCGTGGTCGTCGCCGATCTCCTGTGGGGACTAAATGATGTTGGGTATTATACAGTGGGATATGCTGATGATATAGCAATCCTCATAAACAGAAAATTCCTTTCAACATTATCAGAGGGTCTTCAAACAGCTCTGTACACAGTCCAACAATGGTGTGAAAGAACAAGTCTTTTCATCAATACTTCCATCCCAATAAGACAGTAATTATACTGTTTACCATGAAGAGAAATATGAAGGGCCTTAAGGATCTGACCCTCTTCAATAAAACGATCCAGTTCTCCAGTGATGTCAAGTACCTTGGTCTAGTATTAGACAAGGGACTGACATGGAAAAAGCAGCTGGACAAGGTCATCAATAAAGCCTATAATGCTTTCTGGACATGCAGAAACATGTTTGGTAAAACCTGGGGACTGCAGCCACACGTTGTGCATTGGATATACACTGCGGTTGTAAGACCCATAATTACATACAGCGCCACAGTATGGTGGCCCAGAGTTAAACTCAAGACAAGCAAGGCAGAACTTAGCAAATTGCAAAGGTTTGCTTGCTTGCTTGCTTGCTTGCTTGCTTGCTTGCTTGGGTATCACAGGAGCAATTTGAACATTTCCGACAGCTGCACTGGAGATACTCCTTGGACTCCCCCCACTGCATCTACAGTTGGAGGCAGAGGCCAGGGCAGGAATCTACGTCTCCAATGCAGTGATCATGGAAACCTACATCCAATAGTTTCAGACATGCATATATAACTCAGGACGTGAAAAAAGAACCCATATTACAAATGGGGTCTGACAAAAAGACACTGAGACATGTATATGAAAAACCCTTCACAGTCAGATTTCCTGACATGAGTGAATGGGAAAACGGTTTTTGGCCCAATAGAAAAGGGGGGCCGATCTGGTATACAGATGGTTCCAAGATAAATAAGGGCACTGGAGCTGGGGTGTACTGCTATGGCATAAGGCAGAAACTTAGTTTCAGCCTTGGGTAGTACACGACAGTATTCCAGGCAGAAGTATAGGCCATTAAGGCATGTATTATGGAGAATTTAGATAGGAACTACAGAAATAGGAACAACTACATTCTATCTGACAGCCAGGCTGCACTTAAAGCACTTGACAAACACCAGGTCAACTCAAAATTGGTCTGGTTTTGCCACCAAATCCTCATGGAACTGGCCAAACATAACAAGGTACAACTGATATGGGTGCCGGGGCATGAGGGTGTTGCTGGAAATGAAACAGCAGATCAATTGGCTACGATTGGAGCTGAACATCTGTTCACAGGACCTGAACCAGCCTGTGGCATCTCTATAGGAGTTGCCAGAAAGACAATCAGGGACTGGACAAATATGAAGCACAAGAAATACTGGGGATCCTTGACTGGACTCAGGCAAACAAAGGGACTCATATGAGGACCCTCTGCTAAAAGAGCGAAGGAACTGTTGAAGTTAAACAGGAACCAGCTACGATGGGTGGTGGGACTACTTACAGGACCCTGTCACCTTAAAGGACACCTCTTCAAACTGGGACTAAGTGATAGTCCCACTTGTGAGAGGTGTCAAGAAGAAATGAAACAGCCACACATATCCTGTGTGAATGTGAGGCCTTAGCTTATTTAAGATTACGTCACTTGGGTCAATACTTTATGGAACCAAGTGACTATTTTGATGCCCCACATACAAAATCCTGCACTTCATTCAAAGCACAGAATTACTGAGGGGATAATCAAAAGGGGAAGCATAATAGATCACTGAAGGTCGTGATGCAAGGGGCGAGAAGGCCCATCCTTTATATATTCATTCATTCATTCATGGGCAGCCTCTGTTTTGTAATATCCGTAGTCAGGGATCAATACATGCTGGCTCAATTCACCAGTATGGCAAACATTCTAACCAGAAATTTCTGTGTGACAGTGTGCCTACCCACACTGCTGCAATCACTCCCGAAAAGCTTACTTACCATCACGCAACATAATGAAACATAAAATACTGTCCCTTACATTATATAATTTTCATACAAGACATTTTCTGTTTAAAATATGTGGAGAAATAAAAATATGATGAGCTAGAATATTAAGAAATAAATGTGAGACAGTTACACTCCATCAGCCTTCATTTTCCACTCATCATGGATAAGCAGACAACAGGGTCACTTGAACTTGATCATGATAATGAAAATTCCAGGAAAAAGCCTCTTACTGGAGAACAATGTAAATTAGATGTAAGTCTGTAACTATAATGGACATATATTGTTGTAAACGTAAGTCACAAAAAACTTACTTGCTTCCCACTAGTGGCTTGTGATCATAAAACCACTTGCAGACTGATGCATCTTTGTCTGGATCGAGTTCAATCTGGATGGCTTCCAAGGGTTCCACATCCAACACATTATCAGCATAATCAAGAGGAGGTTCCTCGTCATCAAATGGAGGAAGACGCATTCTCTTGAAGTTCCGATGAGCTCGCTTCTCCCGGCGCATCATAATCCACATTGTGCTATAAATTAACATGTTCATGTAAATAAAAAAAAAATTAAAAATATATCAACAAGAGAAATCTATGGTAACAATCTATGCTTCAATAGTTGATCCATGTTTCATATGAAATGGACTGTATTAAATATACCGATTTGCACACCATGGCTCAAGCAGTTAGTCACTGGCTTCCAACTGCGGCAGCCCGGGTTCGATCTCAGGTCTGGTCAGGTGGGATTTGTGGTGGTGAAAGAGGCACTGAGGCAGGTTTTCTCCGATTACTTCGGTTTCCCCTGCCAACCTTCATTCTACTAATTGCTCCACAATCACCATCACCTATCATCTGGGGCTGGTACAATAGGTCAGAAGTGGCCGCAGTACAAGGGACTTAGTCTTACCCCACTAGCAACAACAAAAAAATTTGTATACCGATTCTTATATTGTGACATGTTGCGCAATGGAGGGCAACCCCTCCCTCACCCAGCAGTGATGTGGCAGGTCTAGCCACGGTGACGTAGCCCCCCCCCCCCCCCGGGCTATGTCGCACCGCTTCCTACTGTGACGAGGCACGCAACGCCGGTGTCGACACGGCATCAGGCAACAGCGGTACCCATTGCGTAACAGGGGTGCACTGCGACCATATAAGGGAACTACACAGCCGCCAGAGTTAGTTGAAAGTGTATCAGCTGCCGAAGACAGTTCTCCAGTCAGCAGTGAACGAGTTAAAGTGTATCAGCCGCCGAAGTTGAGCTGGAATCTAGCCAGCGGTGAGTTACAAGTTACGGACGCGTGTGTGAGAATCAGTGATAGTTCATGATAACTGAGAAGTAATTGGTAGTGTGTAACACAGTGACACTTATATAGCTCCCATACTGTGAATATGTGTAGACTACTGAAGATAGAGTGAACAGATTATTGCGAATAGGGTTTTAAAGTGTGAAAACCCGCAACAGTGTTATAATCAGTTGTAGTTACAACTTGCAAGTTGTTAAATAAACCAATTAACAATCCAAACGGCGTCTTCAGTGATAAAACACGTTACAATCTTTATAATAATATGGCAGAATACAGTGAAACCACATTTCAATTTTCTGTGAGGAACAGTGCATA